ACCCTCACAGTCAACAAGTTCTTCCTGACATTCAACTGGAACCTCTTCTGCTTCAGTTTGTACCCATTGCCCCTTGTCCTGGTGCTGGGCACCACTGAGAAGAGTCTGGCTCCGTCCTCGTGACCCCCACCCTTAAGATAATTGTACGTGTTGATGAGGTCCCCTCTCAGCCTTCTCTTCTCCAGGCTGAACAAGCCCAGCTCCCTCAGCCTTTCCTCGTAGGAGAGATGCTCCAATCCCCTCCTCATCTTTGTAGCCCTGCTCTGGACTCTCTCTAGGAGTTCCTCATCCTTCTTGAACTGGGGAGCCCAGAACTGGACACAGTACTCCAGATGCGGTCTCACCGGGGCAGAGTAGAGGGGGAGGACAACCTCCCTCACCCTGCTGGCCACGCTCCTCTTCATGCACCCCAGGATGCCACTGCTTTCTTGGGACCAAGGGCACCCTGCTGGCTCATGGTCAGCTTGTCGTCCAGCTGGATTCCCAGGTCCCTCTGGGCAGAGCTGCTTCCCAGCAGGTCAGCCCCCAGCCTGTACTGGTGGATGACTTGATGGACGTGAGTAACTACAGAGTCTCAAGACCTCTGTCCATGTTGCATCATGCTAAAGCTACTTCATATCTTTAATGTGTTGTAATGTACAGATCATTTTGGATGGCTTTTTCTTTTGAAGAACATCTTCTCCTAGCGTTGCCCTGCGCCTAGTGGGGCAGGCACAGATTGTGTGTCCCTGAGCCCTCACAGCGCAGTAGGGACTGAGAAGGACCACTCCGGATTTCAGAGGGCCCCTGTGCTAAGCCGCTTCTTTCCCTGACTGCTTCATGTACCAGCAAGGTGGCCGCGAAGAGGTGATGTAGAAATGAAGTGCCACATTTCACAGCTGTCATGGCCAACTTGGGCTGGAAAACATTACTTGTGTACACATCCAGGCTGTGATGCTCAGCCGCTCCAAGGAGTCCTGCTGTACGGAAGAGTGGTTCCCAAGGCTGTGGCTGATTCTTCACAAGCGAGTTTGTGTGCTGGCCAAGACTGCTGACAGCTCAATATTCGGCTACAGAATATAATTTATTGTCATTTTGATTTATGTTCTTCTGTGCAACCAGAGTCCCACGTAAAAAAAAAAAAAAAAAAATTCAGGAGGAGTTTATCTTAAAGTTAGCTCAATGCAAGTTTATTCTTCAGCAAATTAAAGATATTTTTAGATTTATTTATTTACTTTGGAATATGAAAGAGAAAATTACGAAAAAGTAACCTCTGCTGTCAGTTTTGTGGCCCACCGTCGTGATGCCTGCCATCGCGCAATGCAAAAAGAGTCGTCGTCATCCAAAGGGAAGCAAAGCTGAAACCATGAGAGCAAGATCTGCTCCTGGCTGAAGTTCCCGCCTGCAGCTGGTGGCCCTGGCCAAGGAGGCTTTGTCACACCAAGGCAACACCCAGGGCGTCAGGGCCAAGCTCCAGAGCACAGTGCTCCACTGAAAGGTATCTTAAAACTCTCAGTAACTGAGGGTTTCTCCTGGGAAAAAGCCCAAATCCCCCGGGGGAAGCGCTGGCACAGAGCCAGGGTCCCCGCTCCCTCCGGATGGCAGGAGAAGGGCTCACCCTCCATCCAGCCGCTTGGGTTTGCACGCGGGTTTTAGGGCAGAGCTCTCTCTTCTGCCTCCCTTCTGGCACCCAGACTTGGGCTCCTGAATTGCTTCGCTGCATTTGGAGCCCTGCTTCTTGGCATTAGTGCCGGGGGATTGTTGCCTGCGGTTTCCTCCTGACAGAGCGGTGCTGAGCCGGGGCGGGGGCAGGCATGGCGTGGCTATTCCTGTGCACTTGTGTGCGTTACAAAGCCTCCCGCCAGGCGAAGGAGGAGGCCGCATGAAACAGCTCTTGGGGTGGCGCTGGCAGGAATAAAAGCTCCTAGCACAGCCCTAGGAGACGGCGAGCGAGCAGGGATGTCTGGTTTATTCCTGTTCTCTGCTTTCCTGCAGAGTTCAGACAATTTTGTTTCTTGCATTTCCCCCCGACTTCGCCGCCATGAGCACGTAGGTAATTAAGACACGTGACGTGCCTCAAAAGTGTAACTCCAGAGTATGCCATGGGCTGAAACGGAGTGCCCTTTCCAGCGCAGGGCTAGGGCTGGAGCCCCTCTGCTATGGGGCCAGGCTGGGGGGGGTGGGGGTGTTCAGCCTGGAGAAGAGAAGGCTGCGGGCAGAGCTGAGTGCGGCCGGTCAGGGCTTCAAGGGATTCTATGATTCTATGATTCTATGATTCTATGATTCTATGATTCTATGATTCTATGATTCTATGATTCTATGATTCTATGATTCTATGATTCTATGATTCTATGATTCTATGATTCTATGATTCTATGATTCTATGATTCTATGATTCTATGATTCTATGATGGCTGGCGTGGGGACAGGGCGGTGTCACCGGGCTGGTCCCCACCAGGGGAGGGCAGCGGGGTCCTGGCTGGAGCCGGGCCAGGCAGGGAGGCACCTGATGAGCGGCTGGGCAATGCGGCACCCCTCCTGCATAAGGTCTGCGTCGTGCTCTCCTTTTCTTCTGGATAACGCTGGTAAAGTGTTAGTAAAGTGTTAGTAAAGTGACTGAAACCCGTGTGTTGCGAATGAGGCCATCTGTCTGCAGCATGGGTAGCAGAAGGGTATTTTAGGGTTCCCAGCTGCAACCCTGTACAATATCGGACTGCAAAGCAGCAGGGAAATCATGGAGCTCAGATGAATAATAGGGGTGCAGCAGATAAAAATGAAGTCCAGGTCCACCCCGGTGGGGATGGTTGGGCAGCACGGGAGGGTGAGCTCTTGGCTCCCCGGGAGCCAGGGTAGGTTTTACCATCACCCTCGCTGGAGCCAGGAGTCACCCTCAATGATGATCAACTCCTGGAGCCAGGAGTCGGTGGCTGGCCAGTCTGTGTGTTGTTATCTCACAGTATTTGGACAACGTGCTTCACTGCAGTATGTGTGTGTATGTATATATACACACACAGACATATATATATGCACACCCAGTCCTTCCACAGCACACATTTAGTGTGTACAGGGCATTTCCTCGATGCCTGGCATTTAGCTGCTGAGTTACAGGTGGATTTCTGTATAGGCAGCACAGATAGCAATCACAAAATCCTTTTAATAGATCAAAGAGTGCTGTGTAATTGAAAATTTCTTGTAGAAGTGTTCGTTTCAACCAGTTCTTAAATTTTTCTCCTAATGTATAAGACAGAAAAGAAACGTTTTCCAGGGTATAAAATGGAAAGAAGTTTTGTTCATTACTTGGTTTGTATCTCCACTCAAATTAAGGATTATTGACAAGAAATGAGTGTTTTACCATGCTCCCCAAAGGTATTTCTGTATTCATAAAAGCCTCTTGGTTAAATCGGGGGGTGAGCAATAATTGCCACCTGAGGGATGGGTACACACTGGATTTTTACTTGCTTTATATTTGGAAGTTTTATTCTGCTGTATATTATAACTTGCTTTCCATTCAGCAATCAAAATTCTTCTTCGGTTGAGGAAAACCTAAAGCCCATCATAATTACTGTTCTTGTTGCACCCTAGCCCTGTAACAAGATAGAACTTGGCTAATTCAATAAAGACCCATGGAATAACCTTCCACCTTTTAAATAAGATGCTTTTATGGACAGCCAGCACCCACGTAGAGTCCATTGCACAGAGCCATCGTCCTTGTGGCGGACATGGCTTTGCAGGTGACACAAGGAAAGCTGTCAGTGCCTTTTCTTTTTCCTAGCTGCATGCTGTAACTTTGCAGCAAGTAAAATCTCGAGCATCGTGGGCTCCTGAAAGAGGCCATGCCTTTGCGAGGAGCTCGTGTGCTCGGACGTGAAGAGGGCAGCTGAAAAAAATGAACAGAAAGGAAATAGCCCTGGGAAGCTTCAGTGCTGGAACTGAAGAATTTGGTACTTGTACAGACAAGCGCTCACCAAATTCTGCACATCATAAATAATAATGATCTCTCTGCCTCCCATGCATCCGCTAGGAAATGCATCTTCCCCGCTGAGAAAATGGCCTGGGCTAAATAAAGGTTTGCCCTTTACGGGGAGCAAGAGAGCTGGGAGGTGGACATTAGGGCTCTCATCTCTCTCCCAGAGGAAAGCCATTAAGCGTATGGAATACATATGTTTGCTCTTCAGCAGCTGTTGGGTTTCTCAGCCCAAGAGCCATAACAGGACCGCGAGGTTTGGAAAATTTCTGCCTCCCACATCTGCCCCCCTCCCCACCAGCGACGCTGCTGAATCAGTAAAAGAGGATTGTGCATCTGCGCCTCGTTAGGCCAGTACCTCTAATTATATCATCGGCAAAAAATGGCTTCAAGCTGCTCTGCCCCGGGGTGGTGACTTGCAGTGGAGGGCGAGTCTGACCCTTTCCATGGTAGCGTCTGACACCACCACGGTTAGATTTACAGGCTGGTGGTCCTGCAAAATTAAACCCTGACAGAGCCTTCCCACTCACCGAAGCTGTGGACAGACCGCTCGTGTCTCTAGGTCGGAAGCGACCTCTTCTCCTCTTTACCCATTTCTAGAGAAAAAAACATGGGAGAATAATCATTTGCGCAGTTTTGTAGGATCCTGGGCTTGCAGTGAAGTGCCCTCCCAGCAATCCCCGTCTGACACGGCTATTGCCTGAACAGCCAAGTGCCATGTAAAATGCAGGGCGTTCGTTTGGGTCAGTTAGGTAACGAGGTAGGTTGTCTTCCACACAGGGCTCTGCAAGGTTTGGCCCAGCCCAGTTGCACAGGGACGTGGGATCTGCCGTAGCACGTGGGAGAGACCTGGGTACGGGGGAGGTAGGGAGAGAAGGGGTAAAAAAACAGAAGAGGGAGGAATGTGAAAGCCAGGCTCACCTGCGGGTGCTCCGTCTGGGGCCACCTCGGAGCTACCCTGGGCCCTGGGAGCGCAGCAGCAGCAGGATGGCCGGGGACGTGGGACCTGGCTGGGAGCCCGTCCCTGCTCAGCCGTGCCCTTCTGTCTCCTCTGCAGGCCTTGCGATGAAAACCACCCCCACGTGAAGCCCGATGCCTACGTGAACAACCTCGCCGAAGCAGTCGACGTTATCCTCCAGCAGCTGTGAAACCGAGGGCGCCGTGGGCGATTGGAAGGAAAGGAGGAGGGGGCCTCGTGTGCAGCCCCGCCACGAGGCCACTCCGTCCTCTCCCACCCCCATCTGATGTTAACAGAGCCAGACCCAGCCTTGCCCAGGGTGGTGAACGCCTGTGTTCCTAAATGTTTCATCTAAGGGTACTAAAACGATCTGCCAGCCTCCTCAGGGGAGCGCTGAACTTGCTGTCCTCCGGCACGTCGTGAACGTCTTCCCCTTGGTGCCGTGCTCCTGCCAGCGTAGGTGAAATCAGCTCTCCCAAAAGTGCCCGGCTCTTCCCCAGCTGGGGCTGAGCCTTCTCTGCCCTAGGGGAGCCCTGAGGGTGGTGAGGGGCCTCTGCCGCCCCCCGCCGATGCATGGGGGGCTGGACCCCCTTTAACTGCTCACACCAGGGACCCAGCCCAGAGGTGCCCGGGGGGAAAGGGGGGACCCGGCACTGCTTCATGGACAAGCTTTGCTGTTCAACTCCCCCTTTCTGTGCCTTTTGGGGTGCCTGGGATGGGATGGAGATGTCCCTGAGGGGTGATGGAGGCCACCAAGCCCTGAGCTGCTGTGTGCCAGCCCAGCCCCGCTCTGCGGGGTCCCGTGCAGCACAAAAACCCTGGGGAGGGGGACAGCCCCTGCGCCCCCAGCACACCGGTAACCACGTTTCTGCCACGCTTGGTCCCTGTCAGGCACCGCCCCAGGTTAGGGCTCGGGAATCTGGTAACACTGCGACACGTGACGGAATAATCCCACCATCCTGTCAGGAATAAACCTCGTCCTGTGGATCGGCACATTTGTCGCTGTGTTCGGTCACGTCAGCGCTGGCAGGGATGCTCAGGGGATCTGAAACAGGATCTGGCTGGGATAAGCTGGCAAGGGCCAAGGGGCCGACAGGCTTTTCCTTCTCTCCATGGGGTCTTGCAGGCGGACATGGCTGGGACACACACACGGCTTTCCTAGCCCTTCCCGTTAAGATCCCGGCCGTGCAGCCGGGGCTCGCTCACACCCAGGCGCTGTCAGCGTTGAGCCCCGCGCAGCTCCAGCTCACGCACCGGCGGGAGCTCCGGTGGGGAGCATGGCGGGACGGCACGGCAGGCACACTCG